ACTTGAATCCAGAAGGAAGTTCCTAACTTTTAAATACACACTAAAAGTCTCATCCACTCCAAATAATCCTATAACAACATCTTCTCCAATAGATACAAAGCTTTCTACATCAATAAACCCAAAATTCCCCTTTCCATATCAGACTTACCAAAATACTTCAACTCCATCACTTTCAAAATCCACCCTACCATTGAACGTAAACCATCACAAATCCCTCCATGGACAATAAATGCATTCCCAACAAACACCAGTCTTGCCGAACTCCCCAAAAAAAATCCTCAGTCCAAATGACCACAGGACTTGATTCCTAGAATTAAATAACAACTACTCCCAACACAAGATTTACACTGATGGGTCAAAAACGGACACTGGAGCTGGACACGCCATTATCACAGAGAAAGCCAAAAAAACATAAAATCTCCCTTCTTCATCATCCATCTTCACAGCCGAAACTTATGCCATCCTGGAAGCCATTAAATATGCACACTCAAACCCAGATCGTCATATACACCGACTCCATGAGCGTTAAAAAATCCCTAACGAAATCATATGATCAAGAAAACCAACTAATATCCACTATCCAAGAACTAAACCACAACCAATCTAACACAAATGCCACAGTCATCTGGATTCCAGCTCATCAAGGAATGGAAGGAAATGAAAAAACTGACCCAGCAGCAAAAGAAGCCACAGTTCTCTCACTTACTAACAATCGCAACCATCTTTCAATTCCCTGCGACGACTAAATAATCCATTGTAAAAAAGTAGCAAAAAATGAATGGAACAATACATGGAAAACAACTAAAAATATCCAACTACACAAAAGTATCCAAGACTTTCACCAGCAAACACCAAAGTTGAACAACAGGAAAGAAGGAATAATTATCACACGCCTAAGAATCGGTCATACCAAGCTGACACATGAACACAAAATTGAAAAAACTACACCACCCGCCTGCACTCATTGCAATAACCATCCACTAACAATAACCCACATACTGCACGAATGCCATACCACAGAAACCCAAAGACAGAAATATGGAATCAACGCAAACATAAACCTGACTTCTCAAAATGACATACAAAGAGTATTAAAATGTCTCAAAAACATAAACTACTACACACATATCTAATGTCACCATCGTCGCTAATAACCTCGCTGTCGATGCGACATTAAAGAAAAATAGAAGAAGAAGAAGTTAACAATAAAAAATATTTTTCTTAAAAATTTATGTTATTGACACAATTTTGCTTCTCATGTGTATACATCTAACTTTTTAAAATTTTAATGACTCAATATTGTGTATTTATTGTTACTTTGAATGAGGAAGTGTGTATATTATTTCCAACATCAATAATCTTTGAATATTGAATATAAATTTTTAAATATTCTTTTTATTGATATATTCTATTACAATTAATGTTTTTTTCTTTTTTTAATAGGAAGTGACATATATCTGAAACACATTTGTGAGTGCTATTTTTACAAGAGGAATGAATATTTCTGAATTGATTTGGGTACTATTGCATTAAATTTAATAGCAATGACAAGAACAATAGTTTTACAACAAATTGAAAAATTTTAACGGCGATCAATAATTTTCTTCATAAGTAAAAGTAACTTAATCTAACTTTCTGTAGAAATGTAGCACATTCGTTATCTTTCTAATATATCTTTCTAATATATTCGAATATCTACACATATACACCATATCTTTAGTTATTTATATGTTACTTATTCAGTTCGTTTAAGGAATTAATGAACTTCATGCAACAATGGGAACAAAAGGAAACAGGTATATTGTGATATTTATTATTTTATATTATTTTATGACAAAACTAATTGCACGTGTTCGTGAGAATCGATTTCATATCAGTAGTAGATAGTTAATTACTACAATGATAAAATGCTATGAAGGAAAAAATTGTGCAAAAAGTGCTAGCTTTACACAGTGAAATTACATTAATTTATCGATTAAACATGCAATTTGGAGAAAACAATTTAGGCGAATTTATGAGAGTGAATATATTTTTTTCTGTTTTTAACAATATCGTGTCGTGAACGCATTCGAATTAGAAAAAAAACAGCTGTTTTATCAAACAGTGCAAGTATAATATCATCGATTTTTAGTATATCGATAGTCGTTTGATGAGCAATCGTTTTTGCTGGTATAGTTTATATATAATTACGACATGCAGCAAGTTTCTTCCTATCCTCGCAGACGACACGCATATTTACCACAATATATACATAAGTGAAACAATAACCAATCAATAAATCAATAAATAAGATTTTAATAAATTTTCTTTGTTATTGTTTTTAACGCTGATGAGTAAAGTAAATAAATCAAAGTTAATTGTTACAATCAACTTTTTTAAATAATAAATTTTTTTTATTCGCTCGTTAAAGAGAGTATTCATTGAGAACTCAGGTTCCCAATTCCAACATTCAAAAAATTATCAAGTTTTAAAGATATGTGGACTTACATTATTATTTTTATTTTAGTATCCATGTTCATTCTATGTGGTTAAACTTAATCTTCGTTTATTTTCATTAAAAATCAGTTTACTAACTTGTTTAAAACATTGTTGTTTAAAATCTGTCTCACTCATAATTATTGTTAAAACTCTACAGCTACGAATCGCGATATCTTACACTACTAGAAACAATCATAGTGTCAAACCTTCCTAGATTAAATAAAAGTGTATATACGTGTGTGTAAGGTATGACTCATCAGACCAAAAATACGTTGAAACACGTGCTGATTCTTTGCCGAGCAGACTACGACCATAACACTGTTCTTTCTATACAAAAAAACTAATCAGTTAATTATACTGTGTGTCAAACCGAAATATTGTTTTTCCTCTTTATCCAACTCCACAGCATAATTTTATCAATTATCAACTAATATTGAATAATATCCGTCTAAAATGTCTACTTTTAATTTTACGATTTTATATACCGAATACTATGTCGTAACACAGAATTACATAGAAAATAATATCTGTTTTGGTGTTTGAACCTTTGATGGAGAATTTTTATATTGGACAATTATTTGCATAATAAGGTGCAACTATGCTTGAAATCGTATACGAGAAGAATGGTTAAGATGCAAAGAACGAAGAAGACATTTGGAAAGCGAAGGAGAAATGATCGAGGCGCAAGCGCCGAAAAGAGAGAGTGGAAGACTGGAAGAGAGAAAAAAGGAGAATCGCTCTTGAGTTATTATTAGGATGTATTTCCCTGAAGGATATATATTTCAGTTCGACTAACAATTGCACCAGATGTGAGCGAACGTTAACCAGGCCGGCCGTTCCTAGGCGTGGGAAGACTTCCTCGTAGAAGAGGCCAGTCAAGGTTAAAAACCGGTTAAAAACCACGGGCCGATGTCTTATGTTTATAACCGAGGCATATAAACCAAGCTAGGATATCTGGAATCTGCATTCTTTCTGTAGAACGTCGCCGAGATCGCACGTCCGAGCCAATCAGATTAAATATAAAATATACGTTTTCTTGTTAACGGGAAATATTGTGTAAAATTATTTCCTACACAGAGTAGAATCAAATTTGAACAAACTCTAGTTTCTCTTTCGCTTCAGCGTGCTCGCTCTTCCCGTCTTCCGTCCTATCGACTTTTTTCTTTTTTCCTTTTTCCTTTTCTTTTCTTTTTTATTATGAAGTTTTCCTTACGTTTGAAAACTTAAATTTATGTATTGACAAATGACTTGTATGTATTTGACAAATGGCTCGAAAAGAGAATGGAACGTTGATCAACGCTGCACGTTACTCGTTACTGGTCTACTCGTTTGCTTGACATTTATTGAAAAACGTTTTATCGAAAATTACCATTTCAGTTGGATGGACGGAGCAAGGAACTACGAATTGAATCCTCAAGGTCAGTTTGGACGCTCAGCTATTTGTTTCCTCCGGCCGTATCGACTCGAGCGACTATAACTCAAGCGCATGTTTAATATCCTTGTGCTAACAAGAGATGATTCAGCTAAAATATTGCAGTGTGAGACTCTGTCAAAGTCAAATTTTGTATTCTTTAAAGTCAGATAAGACAGGTTCTCTCGTTCACCAGATTCGAACCCATCAGATCTTTTTTTTTTCGTCTGTCGGCTTTAAAAGACAAAATCTACGTTGATACGTTGATATGGACCAGCTGAATACACATGTTGAAAGATGTAGAAATAAACATTCGTTGAGAATTAGATTACAAAAGTGATAGTCATTTTGATAATTAATTCGTCCAGCAGTGACATAAGTAATTATTTTATTCCAATCGCAATAAATAATTAGCCTCATGTTATGGTGCTGCTACAGATAATATTCTGAATTATTATAATTAAATATAGATATATTCTGAATATATTCTGAATTATAATTAAAATATCTCCTTAATTAATAATTTTCCGATATAAATAGTTCAATACTTTTTTTACACAGCTTTCGCCTAGCTGAACCGAGTAATGTTTTAAAAAAACAAACGTTTGTTTGACCTAAAATGTCCTAAAAAGTTTTTTTAATCTAAAACTTAAACCTAGATACTAAAAGCGTCTTCTGTGCATCAACATTAAAAAATAATAATCAGTTAATTCTTCCTTTGAAACCATTCAACTTTTGTCTAAGAATAAGACACGTTTGTGAGACGTTGACAAAGAAGATGCTGAATAATTTTCTTTCTTCATTTATTAACCAGGCTGTTGCTGTTTTTATATTCGGACGCTTTGAAAGTGCATCGCAAAAGAGTATTTTGGACGAAAAGAATGGAAAATTCACATAGAGATAGTATCTCCTCAAGCGAGAGATAGTATCTCCTCTTACCCATATATGGATATACATATATATTGTACCCATATATGGATATATGTTAGCGATCGACGAGTGGGAGTTATCACGTGCGATAAAGTTGGTTATAAACGCGATGTTAGCAGCATGACAACTTGATCGTGACCGAGCGTAGCCTGGCGCAAACTGGGAGGGAGTTGGAAGACATTCATACGTTCCTGCACACCGTCCCTGTGTAGAACCGGTTTTCATTCAGTGCCGACTCTTCATTAGTCTGCTTGGTAAGCTGTCAGAGCGAGGATCGTCACGTTATTACAGTCACTTGCCACTGTGCTCCGTGGATACGCCACAATGGACTACCTGCCAATCGCTTTGTCGTTGGTGGCGGTGATCGTTGCCTTCTATTACTTTATTACGAGGAATCACAATTTTTTCAAGAAGCATGGCATTGTGCACGTTCCGCCGACGCCGCTGTTTGGAAACATGGGATCGTTCGCTAGACGACAGATCACCATGCCGGATTTTGTTGTCAAGATTTATCAAATGGATCCCAAAGCGAAATACATCGGTTTCTATGAATTTTTCACGCCGATAATAGTGCTGCGCGATCTGGATCTGATCAAGGCCGTCACCATAAAGAACGCCGAACAATTTTCAGACCATCGTCCGCAGCTGAACAAAAAAGTGGATCCCATGCTAGGAGGAATGCTATTCATGATGAACGGTGAACAATGGAAAGATCACAGAAACATGCTGTCACCGACGTTCACCTCCAGCAAGATAAAAACCATGTTTAAACTGATGTCGGAATGCGCGAGCAGATTCGCCGAGCATTTGTCAAATCTGCCGGAGGAGCAACGCGAAACGGAGATGAAGGGTCTGTTGACGAAATACACGAACGACGTGATCGCCAGCTGCGTTTACAACGTGTCCATCGATTCTGTCAAGGAACCGAACAATGTGTTCTACATGTATGGTAGAATATGCACGACACTGGCAACATTCAAGAAGTCCCTGATAATTTTGGCACACAGAAACGCTCCGTGGTTAGTAGAGCTGCTACAACTCAAGATCGTGGATAGTCACATTGCCAAATTTTTCTACGACCAAGTGGCAGAGACGGTGGAGACCAGACAACGGACCGGCGATCGCAGGTCGGACATTTTGCAGCTGTTCATGGACAATAACAAGAAAAGAGAGCCGGGGAAAGAGATGACTGTACAAGATATGGCGAATCACGCGTTCAGCTTCTTCTTCGGCGGTTTCGACACTGTCTCGTCGCAATCCTGCATAGTAGCGCACCTGTTGGCCGAGAATCCGGATGTTCACAAAAGGCTGCAGCAGGAGATTGACGAGACGTTGAAAAATAACAACGGTGAGCTGACTTATGACGCGGTACACGAGATGAAGTACCTAGACGCGGTGATCAACGAAACCTTACGACTTTATCCGATCGCTACGTTGATAGAAAGGATGTGCGTCAAAGATTTTGAACTGCCGCCGGCGCGACCCGGCGACAAATCGTTCACCGTCAAGGCAGGGATGAGCATCTGGATTCCCGTGACTGGGATCCACCAAGACCCGAAATACTACGAGAATCCTTTGAAATTCGACCCGGATAGATTCTACGAAAACAAGACGGTCGCCAATTCGAACGCGTTCCTGCCGTTCGGTCTTGGGCCGAGGATGTGCATCGGCAACCGATTTGCGCTGACGGAAATGAAAGTGTTGTTCTCTCACGTTCTTGCCAAATGCAATATCAGGCTCGCGCCGAGAACAATCACCCCGTTGCAGTTCGAGAAAGGCGTATTTAGTGTCACCGGGAGAAACGGATTCTGGCTGGCCATCGAGCCGAGGAAATGATCTTATTGTTTCTCCACCGTTTCTGCCAGCGCTGTTCCCTGCAATTAAACGTGAAACGAAAATATTACCTAAAAGTATTATGCATGTAGATGTTTGATGTTTGATCGCATATACGACTTCAACACGGGCATTTAAAAATTATTTTGCACAATTTTGTTCTTTGTATTGTCAAACCACTGAAGTTGTAACGCGCTTGATCAAAATCCGTTCATTGGCGTAGAGCAATTATCGTATATTGCAATTCATTGAAATTCAGAAATTGTCGATACGATACGAACGGATACTTCAATGAAACGACCGTTTGATTCGAGCGTGTCTCTATTCGTAAAGTTCGACTCTCAACTTATTGTTAGTAGAAAAAAATTGGGAAATCGCATCTGTTTTCTGTGGGCGATTGTTGCTTTTATTTCATGTGTAACACTTCGAATTGCTGTGTTATTATGTAGATAAATTATCCGATATCTCTTAGAGTTAGATGTTATAACGAAAAAGTTTCGTATCCATTGTTTACGACATTAGCAAATGAACATTGTCGAGCCTAGTTTTCAAAATGATTCACAAAGCATTGCCGACACTAGCATTATCCATTTATGGATACACTTTCGCATGACTCATACCTTGCGAATGAACAAAAAATAAGAAGTATATTACATCATATCCGATCGCCGAATACATTCATACTAACGTATATGTTGCTACGAATGCACAGTGGTAGACAAATTTCACTATAGTGCCGACAATAGAATTTTTTTTTCGAATTTTTCGAAAACTAGTATAAGAAAAGGTGGAAGGACGCATGTGCACAAATCAGTGCTCAAATAAATCAGAAAAATCTCCAGAGAAGATTGGAAAGTATCTTACGAATAAATAAAAAGAAAAGAAAAGAAACTCTTGTCGTTAATATTCAGGAAGAACGTACGTACATATTGTTCAAAAGCAGTAGGCGGATGTTATCGTTATTCGTTTCAAAATTTTTAAAATTTATAGAGAATACAACATATTGTTATATTCTTCTGGGAACGATAACGCTTAGATACGATGATTATATGGAGATAATGTGTGTGTGTGTAATCATATGATTATTTTTCCAATTTAGTCCAAAGTCAGTATATTTATTTCAAATAGTCATTTTATTTTACTGTAAAGTCGTGAGAATTAACAATTTTTCTCGCGCAACAGAGGTCAATAAAAAAAAAAGATAAATACCATCTTGTTCTTGAAAACGTGAATGCGCAAATAATCGTTCGTAACTTGTGCATTTAAAATAAATTGAAGAAATTAAATAAATATCCGAAATATTTCCAGCAGAAGACCATTTTTGCACATTTACGCGTAATTCATACATTTTACAGGCTAGAATGAGAGATGCTCGTTTCCGATTTATATGTTGTAACTTTACATTTTATATATGTATATCACATTCCATTATAGCATATTATAACTAATTGTAGAATGAATGAAAACAAATCGGTCACAGACTCGCTTTCAACGTTGCTGCCACGAAGAATTGTCCAGTCCACTAATTGTCCAGATGTCAGTCGGGAATTTTCTCGATGAGTGTGGTCGTCTTTGGGATGGGAATCTTCTCGGGCTCCGCTTTCTTTGCATTCTTGGCTGGATTTTCAGCCAGAAGCCGTTCTCCGGTATCATGGTGAGCCCCCTCGCGTACAGTTTCAACGGTATAGAGGATTTGGCGCATGGAGCGAGGTTGCACTTGGCGAAAATGTAGAAGAGTAAAACTTTCGTCTCCAACAGAGCGAACCTATTGCCGATGCACATCCTGGGGCCCACTCCAAATGTTAGGAACGGGAGAGAGTTGGACAACTGTTTCGAATTGTCGTAGAATCTGTCAGGATTAAATTTCTTTGGCTCCGAGTACTACTGCGGATCGTGTTGAATGCTATAGATCGGTATCCACACAACGTCATTTTGTTGCACAACGTACAGCTTTGCTCCCGGCACGCGTGGCGGCAATTCGAACGGTTTCTCTGTCGCTACCGATCGCCGCCGGGTACATCCGAAAACTCTCGAGAATGACAGCCTCCAGGTACTTCATGCCGTTGATAGCCTCGTACGTGACCTGGCCTTTACAATCCTCCAAAACCTGGTCGATCTCTTCTTGTAGTCTTTTCTGTACTTGGTCGTTGATGCCGACCTCGTAAGCGGTAAAGCACATGAGAGTGGAGGTGCCTTCAAATCCAGCGAAGAAGAAGATGAGCGCCTGAGCGGTCATGTCGTCGATGGTCAACTCTTTGCCTGACCCCAATTTCCCTCTGGTTTCCAACATCAGCTGAATCATGTCTGGACGAACGATACCGTTTTCATCTCAGAGTTTTATCGTGTTGGCTACCAACTCTCTGAAGAAGTCGGCAATCTCCTGCTTGAATATCTTGATACCGAGCAATCGGCATAACCACGGGAACTGTCTCCCCGCGAAAAGCCTGAGAGCTTGCGATATTCCAAAGTTGGTTGCTTGTCTGCAATAGAACGTGTTTTTCGGATTCTTCATCGAGTTAACGTCAATGCCGAACGCGCAAGTGGCATTGATTACGTCGTTGGTGTACTTGCTGAACGCGTCTTTCAACTCAAATTCTTTCGACTGATCGGCAGGCAAAGAAGCGAAATAATCGCCGTACTCTTTGGCACAATTACGCATCAACACGAACATGGATTTCATTTTGCTGGACGTAAAAGCCGGTGACAACATGTTCCGTACATTCTTCCACCTTCCGTCGTGGAAAAGAGATTGTTCGAGAAGAGAGGCTCCAGGTCCGGATCGAAAGTCATTCTATGGTTTGGAAAGTGGTCGAAATTCTTCATGGTGATAGACTTGATCAGGTCGAGGTCTCGAATCACGAGCAGAGGCGAATCGAACTCGAAGACACCAACGTACTTTGACTCGGGATCCATATTGTAACTCTTTTCGGCGAACGAGAGTTGTTGGAAAAGTGTCTCCTACAAGCCTCTTAAAAACATCATCGGTTTGACGTACGGAATCCCACGTTTCTCAAAGAAGTCAAAGTACGAATGGCTCGGTAGTAGAGTAAAACCGGCTACGATTATCGACCACCAGTTCATTTCCAGATGAGTCATTTCTCGCTTCTAACAGGTATTCTCCTCTTATCGGCAACTAGATCAGCATTAGCCTCTTTCTTTTCTTCGTACACTATCTCGTGCACTTTCCAGGAGAGGTTATCCACTAGTTTTGGGAGGTTGGATAATTGCAGACTAAACGATCACCGGCTACGTTTAGTCCGTTGACAAAGAAAAACAGAAGAGCGAACGCAGAGAGTTTGGCAGCAGCTGTGAACGCGAACTATTCGTGCCGTATTCTTTAGAACGAATCTTATCTAGTTACAGATAAGAGATGTGACTTGTTATTCTAACACAGTACTGTTACTCTACAGCTATTTACGTCATGTTCGCTGTCTCTTGTAATTTTATCTACCAATTAATAGATTGATAAATGTACTGTCCTTATGTATTATCCATATGTACGTACACATGTATACGTACGGTTAATGTCCCGTAGTTGCAGACACGTGAGAATGTTATAATTGAAACGGTCGCGACCAGAAAAATTGTGTATTATTCTTGGCTAATGTTTGATTACTCCTGTGCTTTGTTTCAAACTTTCCTAGTTTTCCTCTTACAATGAACTATCATGTGGCTGATAGTTAAGGAGATATTAGCAAAAATATTTTTTTATGTTGTATGAGAAAAGACCGTTAATCTCAGTAACTATGTATTTTAGATCCTATTTGGTGTAATACTTTTTTATGTAGAATTCAACGCTTTATCCGAATTCGGGAAGAAATATTAACTGTTCCATTTAAAAAATTGAAGATAACCTTCATATCTTGATAAAAGAGCAAAATAACAAAATTGATTACAGTGCTATATGGCCCCCTAGAAGCCATGCAATTCCTAAACATTTTTTCGTAACAAATATTTTATGAGTTATTTGATGTCGTGTTACGAGACTCACCCTTCATACACTTCCTCGATTCTATGCCGAATGGCAAATACGTTCCACTATTGACCACACGTTTTTTGTTCAAAAATTGATCCGCCTCGAAGCACTCGAGTTTCTCGGAATATTTCCGGTAGCGTTGGATCGCGTAGATCGGCAACTTCAGATAGGAGTCTCTGCCTTTCACGTACGGTTTGGTACTTGGCTGAACTGCCGGTAACTTGAAAGGTATCGACACAAATAAGTAGACCAAGTATCTTACGAGGTTTCGTGGGGATCTGAAATACCGACATAGTATACCGACAAAATTACTTTTTTAGCGCACTCTACGTTTAAAGAACGGTGAATTGGGGAATTACATTAAGTAAAACAATCGAGATTGTTCGTAATGAATGCGCCAGGAATATGATTTTTGAAACACGTTTACAGTGTTGTCAACTTTCAATACCGAAATGTGAAGCAAGTAACTAACTAAATTCATCTTATTATGTACGTACAGTGAGCGACGAAAGTATTCGAACGGCATGATAGAAAATAATTGATTATACAAAAATTGTATAATAAATTGCAATTTATCGAAACAAATTGTTTTTATACTGTTGTATATACATTTGCTAAATATGCAATGTTAGAGAAAAATTAAACCATAAGTAAACAAATTACATAACATTTTTCACGGGTAAGTACATATAAGATAACAAAATTCGAACACTGAATTATAAAAATTATAAAAATTATAAACACTATATATTGTAAACATAAGACTGTCGCAAAATCTAAATGTAAACAAAAGATCTTCAGTGTATTTCCAACAGTATTTGAGAGCAAACGGAACCGAAAGTTAAACGTTAACCTGTAATTCAAAATAATGAGTAGTAAAATATCAGACAATTAAATAACAAGTAAACCCGAATCAGAAATTATTGTTGAATTGCATAAAGAAGGTAAAGAGATTCATATAGAAATTTTATATAGAAATTGCTTCTCTTGTAAGCGAAAGCAAATCAACAATTCATTATATAATAAAAAAGTATAATACGAACGGAAATATTGCAAATGAACAAAGATCTGGGCGTCCAAAAAAAATTAACATCACGGGAAGAAAAATTGCTTCTGCGTGAAATAAAGAAAGATCCATTTACATCTGCTCCAAAATTGGCAACAATGGTTGTTACAAACTTTAATGAAGAAGTACACGCCCAATTATGTCGAAGAATGTTATAGAAAAACAATTTCCATAGTAGAGTCCCACGAGAGAAACCATACATTAGCAAGAAGAATAAATTACTTTGTTTAAAATTTGCCAAAGAGTATATAAATAAGGACATAAATTTTTGGAACACTATTATTTTTTCAGATTAAAGTAAATTCAATTTATTTGGGTCCGAGTGTAAGAGAACAGTATGGAGGAAACCA